AGTTCAGGCCACTGTGGCTCAAGTGGTAGAGCGCTAGACTTGAGCTGAAGAGCTGAGGGACAGCGCCCAGGCCCACAGTTCAGGCCCCACGATCGGACCAAAAAAAAAGAAAAAAATAAATAAACCCCAGGACAGGCACTAAATAAATATTCTATGACCCTATCTGAAAAAAGTTAACAAGACTGGGAGAGATTGGCTACTACTGAGGGCCAGCTTAACAAGCACAAAAAACCAAGTTCAAGCACCAGTACTTTAAAAAACAAAAAAACTGGGCTAGGAAGGTGGCTTAATGATAGAGGGCTTGCCTCGCATGCATGAGGCCCTGGCTTCAATTCCTTAGCACCACATACATAGAAAAATCTGGAGTGGGGCTGTGGCTCAAGTGTTAAGAGCACTGGCCTTGAACTGAAGAGCTTAGGGACAGTGCCCAGGCCCAGAGTTCAGGCTCCATGACCAACAACAACAACAAAAAACTCAATTGGACAATTACTTTGACAAAAATTATTGCATACTTAAAACTTTCTACTTGGGGCTGGGAAGGTGGCTCAGTGGTAGAGCGCTTGCCTTGCATGCCTGAGGCCCTGGATTTGATTCCTCAGCACCACATAAGCAGAAAGAAAAAAGCTGGAAGTAGTGCAATGGCTCAAGTGGTAGAGTGCTAGCTTTGAGCTGAAGAGCTGAGGGACAGTACCCAGACCCAGAGTTCAGGCCCCACAACCAGACCCAAAAAGAAAACCAAAACTTTCTACTTATTTGCTCTCATGTTCTTACCAGAACTACATATTCAATGCTAGAAAACTGAGGCAAAAGTTCAGCAGGCTGATTCTGTTCAGATATCCCAGCATAAGTTGGTGGAAACTACAAATAGAAAAACACAAAAATTTTTAATTATTTGCCAGAAAGAGATAATTATAAACTGAAAACTATTTCACCATTTAATTATTAAAAGTTTCAAAACATAAAACATAACTATTTCATCCTTTGTAAAAATGCATTTTCCTATATGACTAGTACTACACATTAGCATCTGCAATGGGTATTTTCTTACCTGATTCCTTTGATAACAGAAGTTGCAAGCCCAGAGTTTTGCTCGATAATCCACTTGACTGTTTTAAGAAAAAGATGTATTAGATTATAATTCACTTCAGTTTCACAAGGATCTTAATTTTTTTAATTTCTTTTGGGGGGGTGAATTGAAGGGCTTGAACTCAAGGCTGGATGCTTGAAGCATCAGCTTCAAGAAAAAAGAGCTTTGAGTTCAAGCTCCAGTACAAGACAAGTAGATGTATAAACACAGAAAATAATACTAGCACTTAACAGGTGGGAAGCAGGAAGACCTCTGATTTGAGACAGCCTAGGTTACATGGCAAGTACAAAATCAGCCTGGGAAACATAGCTAAACTCTAGGTCAAAAAAAAGAGGCTGGGAAGGTAGCTTAGTGGTAGAGTGCTTGCCTTGCATGCATGAAGCTCTGGGTTCAATTCCTCAGCACCACATAAACAGAAAAAGCCAGAAGTGGCTGTGGCTCAAGTGGTAGAGCACTAGCCTTGAGCTGACGAGCTGAGGGACTGTGCCCAGGCCCAGAGTTCAGGCCCCACAACAACAACAAAAACAAAAAAGTAAAAAAAAATATAGATAGAGGGGCTGGGAAGGTGGCTCAGTGGTAGAGTGCTTGCCTTGCATGCCTGAGGCCCTGGGTTCAATTCCTCAGCACCACATAAGCAAAAAGAAAAAA